ACACCTAGTAGGCTATACTTCATTAGTTCCAGGTTTACAGGTGTGATAACATGAGATGTTATATTGTGACTTTATTTTAGGCCTGTGTAAGGCGGTAATTAATTCTTTATGTTATTGTCATTAAGTGGGTAATGAGTCACATACAAATAATAAAAACATTTCAGAGGTGGGGCACCAAAAGTGTCTTTGCCCCCAGGTACTAAGAACCCTTTCTATGCCACTGGTTGGTTATTGAGCATATTCAGTTACTTTGTAGAAGTAAGTTTATTTTTTAAGTTTGTCATTTGTAATTATAGGCCTATAACTAGTTACACTGGTGTACAAGTGTTCAAGCATGTAGAAACATCAAAGAAAATTAAAGTGATTGGTTTTCATTTACATGGACTAAACTTTGAATAATTTTCACCAGGTAATCTACAAGAAACTGCAAATGAAAAAACAGCATTACAAAACTGGTTGTAAAAGTAGGATTATTTTGGTAAGAGAGTTACAAAAAAAAAAGAGGTGTACAACCTTGGAAGAATTACAATCAAAAATAAATCTGATTTAAGACAAGTTCATGGAATTATTAGAAATGTACAGATAGATTACAACAATGAAATTGAAGAAGTATGGAAAGGCTGTAATGACAAGACTGAAGAAGTACAGAAGGACATTAAAAAAGCCAAAAGTGAATAAAAGAAAGACATCAACAAGGTAGAAAATAATATTGTTGTCAAATTAAAGTATCTGAAAAATGAATTATTAAATCCAAAGGTTAAATCAGCTTCACCTATTTCTGTATTGGTTCAAGAAGTCCAATTTCAAACACCACCAATACAAAATATGGAATAGGAACACTTATTTGGTCTATGCCTATTACCACTATTGCTGTACCACCTGTTACTGAAGACCTTCCTGGACTGATTCAGCCATTACATTAAATATCCCAAGTTGTTAATTAAAGATAGGAAATTACCTCCAGAGATGAAGAAAGAAGAGGGGACTGATGTAAACAGCAAGTGGACATAAAGTTCCAGCAAAAGGGAAGTTGGAAATTACCCTTACTGTAGGAAGTTTCTGTGTACCTCATGATCTGCGAGTTGTTATGAAGAAGAGTACATATCAGGAAGGTACAATGGAAGTCATATGAGGCTCAGTTGGAAATTATTTTCAGAGTAAATGGATGGAATAATGGACAAACCATTTATCTTGCTGACCATTTGAAATGACAGTTTTGACTACATTAAGTAACCTTTCAGCTTAGAGCTATAACAACTATCAAATATTGATAGTTATCTTACCCAACAGGTTTGAAGTAATATACAAGAAAGAAGTATCCAGAGCAAAGTTCCAGAATAGGGTATAGAGGGAAGAATGGACCTTATCCAAACACTTCTGAAATGATGTTGTACATGACTTTACTCAATGAAGACTTAATCTTCTTCTAATAAAACAAAAAGTAGTTATGCTGATAAAATTGATTTTCATTGAGGTTGCATAGTTTGGCTGAACAGATTTCATAGCATGAGAGAACAAACTTCTAAGTTAAGTAGGTGTCTGGAAGGTAAGCAATGCAAACTAAAGGTCTTCACAGTGATTGCCTCTGGAAGTATGTCAGTGAGATAACTACCAACTGGATAACTCCAGATAAGAACTTGTTAGCAGAACTTCAACTTGAAAATGGAGCTACTAGTAGATGCACTCGACCACCTACCCAGGAAGAACTCACCCAGTATTAGGACAGCCAGTGGTAACAAGGGAGAAGATGCCATCCCAGTAACTTGAAAAAATATGATAAGTCTTTATTAAAACTCCTACAGATAAATACAACACTAAAAACTCATTTCAGTTAAACAACATAAGTTTTGGCATATGTCAAATTGTGGCATATTTCACTTCATCAAAAGCTTTTCTGGCTTTCTTGAGTTCTTCATTCATTGTAAGCAGATCCTTTACCCTTGAATACTTCCGTGGATCTTTACGCACAAGAAATACTATATCTTCTACGTGAACCCGTCCTGTCCGACCAACTTCCATGGCTTTATGGGTCTGGAAATATATAAAATTATTCACAATATAAACTTCAATTCATAATCTGTGAAGATTATATTTTACAAATGTATTTAGTACACTAGTAGCATAACCTACATTTCTAGATAAAAATACATGGTGAATGACATAAATGCAAGATGCATTTCAGACTAGAAATTTCTAGGTACTATTAATGGGCTAATTAAGAAGTAATAAAAATAAAATAGAACATTTTCTAATACTTAGTCATATCTTAATCTATATATGACATTGAATATAACTATATACTATGGTTTTTCATCAGAAGTTTAAAATCTCTTCAGGGTGGTTTTTTGGAAGCTTGACATATAATCTTAACACAAGTCATTTTCCAATACAAATGGCTAGAACTGAGGAATGTTAACATTTTCCTACACTGAAAATATATTTCCAATAGATTCTTACCTCCGCTCAAAAAATAGTTTTTCCTGACTTGTACTGCCCTCTATATTCACAAATGTTTGCCTTGATACTCCCACCTACCCTCACATATTTTCACATGAAAGCACGCAAATGAGCATGTGACAACTCTCCACCAATAGGAGTGTGCCACACCCTCCTAGTACAACTGACTCTTTCTATACAGTACAACCCACGAGATTAGGCACGAAAAAACACACTGGAAGTGTGAGAAAGGTAAGAGTCTACCAGAAATACATGTTCAGTGTAGGAAAATGTTAACTTCAGAAATGATATCTTGCCTCCACTCACAAAATAGCTAGAATCGCACATTGACAATAGTACCTAGATGAGCCCCCTTCAGAGTGTGCCCAAAGGAAGCCCATGGGGGTGTGTGAATAGAAAGTATGGAAGACACACCTATCTGCATCACTTCTGAGCCAGGTATATTCTTCACCAGTGAAAATGATTATCGCAATAAGGGGGGGAATCCTAGGAGGGACCCTGGTGTATAGTGACTTGAGTGCAGTACACAGTAAGTGGAAGTTCAACCTCAACTAACACCAGCAGTACCTTGATAGGTACATCTGGTCTACAGTAGGAAGAGGGTCTTCTATCATTCACTTAGGACAAGGGAAGTAGAACGTCCATTCCAAGGACCCGTATCATCATGTGTGCATATCAAACACAACCAACACCAGTCCACTCTGGGAACTGACATGCGGATGATGGTAGGAAAACGTCTGTACACAATGAATGTCAACCGAGAAGTGAAAATTGGGATCTACTGCATAGAGGAAGTTAGCTGCACTATGAAAGTGTGTTGCACTCCTATTGGTGGAGGGTTGTCGCATGCTCATTTGCATGCTATCATGCAGCTGCCTTATGTAAAAATACATTAGGGTAGATGAGAGTATCAAGGCTAACAGAGAACAAAAATCTGTGCATATAGAGGGTGGTACAAGTCAGGAAAAGATATTTTGTGAGTGGAATATTTGTATTCGCTAATCAATCAATTACATTCAATTAATTGATTAGTACATTTTTCCTCAAATCATGGTACATACAAGCTAAAAATAAATGCACAGAAGCAAGACCTGACAGAGAAATTCTTCATTATAATACTCAAAAACTAACAGTTGGCAGCTGGTGTTGCCAGCCAGTTGCCTTCACTCTAGACAGCAGTTAAAAATTACTGATTGACAGATAACTTTAATAGCTTTTTTTAAATAAAGACAGGGCAAGCAAATTTGGTGGCAATATTTTGATTACTTGGTAGTTGGAATAATTGAATATAGTATTAATCAATTTGACCTTATTTCAATTAATTATTACAGTTTTACAAGTGGCATAGACAAGACTGGAAAATCCAAAATTCATACAAAAATGATACATAATCATAATTGTGCTGTACAACTAAGTCACAAATTAATTCCACGGTTTAAAAATATTTACTATTATACACATTTTGGATTTCATATTTGTCAATTAATTTATGTGACTCTCTATTTTCTTTTAGCAATTTTGGTTAAAGCATCAATGACAAAAATTAATGTTTTTACTTCTGAACTTCATTATTTTTCCTTCAGTTACAACATACATGGTAGCTTTAGTAGGTATTAAAAAATATTTGTAATTATGATACAAGTAACTTCCATCATAATATTATTCCCTGCACAAGTCCTAAAAATATACAACTCAATAAAGAGAATACTAATGCAGTTTTTAAAAATTTAAAAAATAAACATATTTACAAAATGCAAATAATGTTCTAAATATTGAGATATTTTATGAGATATAAAGATTATTGATAGTTATGACCAATAAATGAAAAAGCATTAGTTGTATGAGAGGACAGAAAGCATATGCAACTGCTATTATATAATAGTACTAAAAAAAATTTTAAAGAAGGCCAATTTTTAAGATCAATTTTTATTCATTCCACATGAATAAAATCATGCATTATTAATATTGTTTCATTATTACAAAATCCATATATTCAAATTACTACACATACACAAAAAAAAACTATTTCTAATTATCATATAATGTTCTGCATACCTTTGGGTCCCAACTAACAAGAAGATTAGCAATAATATTCAAAACAGGTGTAAATATTTTCTGTTTATAAATGAATCAATGTTGTGCAGATAGTTTGTTTTCTTTTCATACCATCGGATTAACCCTGCTGAAGCATTTTAGATTAACTTTCAAAAGCTATACCTCTAGCACTCACTTGACAAAGAAATGTCACAATGCATTTTCTATCAAACAAAAACAAAAAACATACAATGTTAGTTATGAACTCTATCACCAAGTCTTCGAGAAGATCAACGGTTTCTGTGTACGGATTCTGGTCGTCTCCAAAGCCATACATCATACATCGTACTGCAATTGCAAAAATTTAAACTTTTGAACAATGTATGAAAGCAAATATTAATGACACAGTATACTAATATTTATAACATTTAAGTATATATATATGATACATCCATTACTAAACAATATCCCAAGCTAAATTTCATTTATCTCTACTAACATAAGCAGAGAAATTATAATTTTCTATCAATGACTAATGTTTGATACTGGAGACCAAAACAATCACTTTCAATTACCATAATGCTCATTCTTAATTATTAATTTTAAAGCCTTATTCTTAACAGAAATAAACTTGGATTAGTTTTTATCCCACTTTTACTTTTATTAGTTTAGAACTTAAACTGTACTATAATCAAGACATACTTTTGTATTCCCTCTAAGTCCAACAGAAAATATACTATTGTTTCTTCACTATGGTTATGGTGATTGGAAGTTTGGTAATTATGTCCAATTCTTGAGTATTTTTTGTTATTAAAACCAACTTCAAACTTTAAAAAGAATATAAAATTTGAACCAAGTTGTAGCCTTTATTAGGCTATACTTGGGGAATATGAGATGGAAGTTCTTAAAATGAAAATATAATGCTCTAGTGTAGTCTGTTTTCTAATGTAAAAAGGGGATTAGAAGAACATTGAAGGGACATATAATAATACATATATAAAGAAAATTGCCAAAATCTAATATTCACAGAAGGTTTGAAATCAGTGTAAACAACTTAGGAATTAATTGCCTAGGGAGTGAAAGGGATCAACGGGGGAAGAGAGGAGGGAAAGCCCTGCTAAAATATTTTTTTACATAAAAGTTTTTGGTTCATCTAGAAAACTTTTTCTTCTCTTTGTACTTTGAGCACACATATTCCAATCAAATATTTTCAAGTTTGAGCCACACTTCTTTTTTCTCTTTTTGTTTAAGGCTCAGCTGTAAATTTCAAGTACTCACACAATTCTAGTATTTGGCATCAATGCGCATATATTTTTTAATTGTTTTGTGTATATTTGTGAAGCTAATGAACCCTCTGTGGAAACTTCTGATAACTGGAAATTTCTCAGTAACAGCTTCTAACCAGCTTAAAAGTTTTGCATTCTTTCTTTGGAAACTTCTGATAACCGGAAATTTCTCAGTAACAGCTTCTAACCAGCTTAAAAGTTTTGCATTCTTTCTTTCAAAACAGGCATATTTGTCAAGTATATGAATAATGCAACTCTTTAACTTACATGTTCATTTTTTTCTGTGTGAAAGACTGTGACATTAAATTATATTTGGTGTTTTTTATGACCCCTGAAATTTTTCATACAAATTCTGAACAAAGTTTGAAGTCAAACATAAAATAGGTTTGGAATGGCCTTAATCGTAAATGAAAATTTTTTAACATATCTGAAAACAAACAATAAGCATTTCATCATCACTAGAGCTTGACAATGTAAAATTCAAACACTATTACTTGTTCTAAATTATTTTTATTAATATATGAAATCAGATTAAATTATTGAAAGAAATTACAATAACAAAAATTCTTGCAAAGCATTAGTATGGTTCAGAAAGGTCATGGTACATTATTTTTTCTAGCTATTTATAATAACTTTTTTAAAGTTATAACCTAACTTCAACAGAATATAAATAACATTAAAAAATTAGTTCTCTGTCTTGATGAATTAGAAAATCACCTATATGCTACTTGCAAATGGCAGATAATGATTTTTGGTTTTATGGCCCAGTTCATGCATCTTCTGTTTTGTGGTTTATTATTTAGATAATATTATGTCAAAGCAATTAAATAACATGAGAAAATGTGAATGCATCAAATCAACATAAATATCAGCTTTAGATGTCAAAGTAGGAGAGACTTCATATTACATGTTTGACATAAAATCTTGATTTAATGCTTCTCCAAAATTCAAAGACATTACTTTAGTGTTATAATATTGGTGAAGTTAACATTTTCCTTACCTCAAAATGTACTCAACTCTCCACAGAGAAAATACTCAAAACCTTTCGATATTGCCAAAAAACTTTTTGAGAACAAAACACCCATCCCTTCACCAATAGAAGGGAGACATCCTCCATGCACAGCAGTCCCCTTTAGCACTTTGTGTATAACAAATGTCATTCTTGACAAGACAAAAAAAAGACACATTGGAAGTGGTGTGATACAGTGTTTGGTTCTTTGTAGACGTGAGTATCTACTTGAAATACATTTTCAAGTAATGAAAACATTAACTCCAGAGAATGCTACTCACCTTCCCAGAGAACAGATAGCTAGAATCACACACTGAGAAGACTGGTGGAGAAATATTTATTTATAAAAAGCAGCTCCTTTATGAAAATATAGTGACAAAGAGCAAACTCATGGAATGTGTCTTCAATCGGGGTTGCTGGAGCACTGATTGGTGGGAAACCACATCTATTCCAATACAAATGGTAGTGCAGAAAGGTTCTGTCATAAAAACTTCCTGCATGGTGCTATAGTGTTACAAAGATTGGCAAAAAGTGAAGGCTACTAAATTGTTCTGTATATCTCAGAGGGTCAGCAGACCATATACATTAAGTGTGGCTATGGCAATATGTCAAACTATAAAATATGTGAGAAATACTTAGGAAATTCATCCAAGACCCATATTTTGAGGAGGTCACAACCACCAGTCCTTAGTGTTGGAGGTGGCCTTACTACTACACTTCCATGAATCAACCAATCAAGTAGTGCAGCCACTTGGTCTTATACCAGTACAATTACACCAATGCAAAGGGAACTAACTCTCTATAATGACCATTCCAGTAGCTTGGTACTTGGGAAGTAAGGATTTTTCCATTCAACAAGAAGCAGTTGGGATGGGAGGGAAGACTTCATGTAGGAGGAAAACATTGGAGAAGTGCATGGATCAAGCAGGAATAATATCATCTGCGAAAGATGCCATTTCCCAAGGAGGAACAAACAAATCAAAAGAATTGTTGAACCCAACCAATCAATAGTGGAAAAAAAAAAAAAAAAAGAATAAATTTCAAGAAGTAGAGGAAAATCATGGCAAAAAACAGGCTATTTTTATTGCCTCTAAATGGAGTTATGTAAGCATGGTAACAGCATACTGGCAGCATAGGACAAAGGAGTTGACCTGAGTATGAGCAATTGTGTAGATATTAAAAAGAGGGTGATGGGCTCCCGGGCAGCCCAAGTCTTAGGAAGGAAAGAGTGGTCTGGAAATGAAAATAAACCTACCTTGTAAAAAATAAAATAAAACAATGGTGTGGGAGACATCTAAGGCAAAAACATCAGAGAGGCATTTCCCATAAATAAGGAGAAGAAGAATACATGTTTTGAAAGAATGACAGTACAGGGAACAGGAAAAACCTAAAGGTTCAAACAGAAGATTTATAAGAGCCTTGAAAACTAAGAAGAGGTTCTATTCCAGCACAGGAACCAGTAAAGGAGGATGATGGAGTAGAAAGGCCCTTAAAATGTCTATAAGAACTGGAGAAAAACAAAATAAATTGCCATGAAGAAGAAACAAGGTCATGAACAAAGCGACTCAGTAACTGATAATCCTAGAAATGGATAGACTTCTTATAAAAATCCAGGTAGAAAAAGGAAGTGAAATGAGGAAAAGTTGAATAACCAATTGCACTGTTAAACCACAAGGGTGGAAGGCTAACAACAGTGATCAAGAAAATGAGCTACTCTGCAAGAAAACCTGCCAGTCTTTTACCCCACATGTACATTAAGCAGATTACAACTACAAAGAATAATTTAAGCTAATGCTTCAATACTTGAAGGACTGTACTAATGTTAAAATTTGTTAGTTTTCTTTTGGCTACAATACTTTAGGTTAATAACAAGTTAAAATTACTGTATTCTTCAACTATGACTCAAAGAATAATTTGTGTCCAACAATCTTTTTTTGTGGGTGGGGGAATAGGGAAAGTAATTACCAGAACACTTGGAAGCTGCCTAAATCTATGTAATAACAAAATAAAGATAATTTGCTTCTAGAATATCTTGAATTAATTACAGAAATTTAATGACAACATATATTGATACTTTGGATAAATTCATCAGTATGAAAAGCAAATAATTAATTGTCAATTTTGAAGATAATCTATATAAGCTTAGCTTTGCCTTTCAAAGTTTCCTATTTTTTACATGATACTCTATACCAAGGTTTATAGTCACTTTAGAATGATTTTTTAAGTTTTCAAAAGTGAATAACTTCCAATTCCAAGAGTACTTGCATTCTTTAGAAAACAATCTTTTTCTTTTATCACCAGATTGGTGTTCATGTCCTTCTTGGGTTTCTTCAAATGACTGTAAAATGAGCATATAAAACATTCTAATAATCCAATATCTTTACAAATTAAAAAAATATTTAAATCATAATATTAAGTTAAAATTTAGATTAAAAAAATAGTTGAAAGCATAAGAAAAATCTAAAATAGAAGCACGATATGTGTGCATGATAACAAGAAGAGATAAAGCATAATTAAAGAAACCCAAGCAGTTTAAAAAAAAAGAAATCATGAATCCAGAAAAATGATTCCTGCTGTAGGTTGAGTATGTTATATTAAAACAGTTTTGAATATGAAAACCACCAAGTCAGGTGAAAACCATGGTCAATATAATGTTGCACTGAAATGTTAGGTATCAGAACCACATTTTTATATTGTTTTGCATTTTATAGGTAGTGTGATGACACCAAAAACTTATCAACTTGAGGAATGATATGCAATAGCCCTTTCCAATGCTAAACATTCACATACTCCAATCACAAATATGTGTTCTGATCAAGGTTTTAGAATATCTAAGACAAGGATTGGAAAACAAAGGAATGTGGATCAACTTTGGGTTCCAGGACAATCCAGAAAGAGACCTGCAACAAGTCATATTCCAGCTGTGGTAAGCAAACTGTTGCACCATGTAACAGGTAAGAATCCAAGAACACAAAGGTAAGTGCCAAAAGCTATCCACATGCCCCATGCAATATAATCAAGAAGGATCTCCACCTGAAAAGTGACACAAGTTACTTCCACATCATATCTGTTCAATTATCACATATGTCAAGTAGCTGGAAAATGGAACAGATATTCATGCTATTACAAGCAAAACATTACCAGTCAAGTCACCAAATGCAAAGTGTATGGATTTCTGTGCAATCAGACTGCTCAAACTGCTACTGGAAAAACCATAATCCTCATACAGAGATGGATTATGGAAGGTCTGCTTTTTGCACAGAAAACTATGCTGCAGTGCTATTGTCAAGATGCATGACTGTCAAGCATAATATGACCAGATGTGGTGGCATGGACTGCAACAATGTAGTCATACTTTAAAATCATTTTAACATAATGTACTCAACCTTCTGGTGAAGGTGTATAAATAGCAACTTGTATAGAATCTCCATTTATTGTGTGTATCATCAACATATTTCTATGCAGTGCTCACTTAATAATAAATACATGTAATATATATGTACTAAACCTAAAGTTAATACAATGTACATGTAGAAAAATGACTAACTGTGATCACTGATCCAACACTCATTGCCATTTTGGAGAAACTAAATTTATGTTTTCTTATTTATAATCTTGTCTAATTAACCCTTAGATAAATTATTAAAGCTACAAGGATGAACCATCTTAATGAACAGTTTCTGAAAAAACTAATGAAAAAATTAATATTCTTTTAAAAGCATTCCTGCAGTTAGGATTCTAAGGGTTGAAATTTTTAAGGTAAGAATATATAAGTAAAAAAGGTAATAAAAGATCATGCAGCTCACTGAAATCTCCTGTTCACTATGGGAACAATCACAATGATAAACATGTATTAAGGAAATAGTGTGATAAAGCTATGGAACAAGTTTTAATATAGAGCTGCAACTTTACAATAGTTTAAGAAAAAGAGTTTGTGAAAATCTTGTAGATCAGAACTAGATTTAGTGATTACTTTTCTGTTTGTTCAGATGGTATGTGACTTAAGAAATTCTTGATACATCAGAAGAGTGCCTTAAGGTCCCATAATTTACATAATTCACAAAATAACTATGAAAAGATCCCATCATCATCCTCCCTTTTTATTTTTACGACATTCATCAGTCAGAATACTTCAGACATCAACATGAATTTGATATGCATCATACAAGAAATGTCTTGTAAATTCCCAAGTACTGAACATTTCATTTTTTAAAATTAAGACACTAATGCTAGTGATCATAATACATTTTTAAACTAAAGTACTTTGAACATTAAATGTAGACTTAATAATATTTTCTATCTACTTCATGATACAGCCACTATTAACCCTGAATGCTAAAAATAGCTTCTGTTAAGCTGCACGGCATTAAAAAGATGTTTGTCTTACCAAAATTCAGTAAATTGTCACTATATTGGTTAAGTATCAAAACCATTATAACCTGAGAAAAAGACACTTATTAACATGGTTTCATTTTTATCATGATGATAGGTATTGATAAAAATATAGTCCACCTCCAATATTCAGTGTTTTAATTTTAGTTTTAGAACCAATGCTTGAACATATTACCATCTTCTATTGGTATTAATTGTAAATTTATAATAGAAAATGTGATTGTTCACAAATTCCTATATGAAAAGCTTTTTTTTTCAAATGTTGCAGGAGAAATTCCTTTAATGGCACATGTATAATATAAAAGTAGTAATGAACAGGAATTTTACTGTTGAGAAATAGTATGAATAGTTGAGTCCCTCGGGAGTCTCATTTGATACATTAGCTATTTATTATTAATATATGTGATTTGTACTGCAATATTTTCAAACTTTTAATGATATTAAAAATGTTGGGAAGAACTTATTCTATTATGAATGTTTTTTTTTACATTCTAAGAGACTTTGATAATTTGTATATATACATATATAAGACACGACGATTTGTAATGTACACTACTACTATTAGTATTACACTTCTTACAGTATTACTACAGTACAGTACATGTTTCGACATATCATTGGTCTGTCTTCTTCAGGTATGATACGTTACATAAACGTATAATTAGCTATTACCAATAAGTATTTCACAATAAAAAGTTTGGATGTAATCAAGACTTTTTCACAAACGTACCTTATCACTCGCAGATCCTGTATTTGTTTCCTCTGAAGTCGCCATCTCTAATCAATAACAGAAGCGCTATCTTACAAAAACTTTTATATATATATACATATTTGTCATTTAAAGTCTAAACAATAAATTAATTATTATCGATAAATATTTCACAATAAAACAGTACCGTAATAATCTCTACATAATTTTAGTTGCTTTGAAACAACTAATTGTTCTGCAAAAATATAGCTCCTGAGCTTTAAGAAGCTAAGGTACCCGTCCCGGTTATGAACTTAAATACATGTGTGAGTGGATACTATGATATATCACATACAAATTCTAACTTTCACACAATTTATTTATAATATAACATATAAGTAAAGTATTCATTATTACATCATTAGAAGTTTCGTATAAGTTTTAAGAACTCAATATGTATATACTTAAAACATGGTATACACTGTTCAATGGTCAGGGTGACTTTGTATGAAGAGGTAGCGAAGAATTTACTGGCGGTAGGAGTGCTTTCTGTTACCCACCTTGAACACCAAGCGCCTAATATCCTTGTTTAGAACATTTTTTTAGATGGAATACTGACGGAGATAAATCCATACCCAAAGATAAAATTAGGTTATGAAACTAAAGCAACACCCGGTCGGCGAAAACTGCTGAAACATTCATAAACTCCAAGTGTTAAAAAATAGTAAATTTGCAAGCTACAGTGGTGATCAAAATGAGGAACTTGCGATTTTATACAAAGTGAATTAGACAGTTCGATTGGGAAAAAAAGTAGTAACATTTCTGATACAACCGTTACTGAAACAGCAACCTCGTTTACACAGTATGACGAATCGGACCTTAAATTTCACAGTGACCATTGATATGCAGAAGAATGGACAGACGTTCAAACAAGGTTTTCTCAGACAAATGTAACTTTAACAGAGGAAAAATGAGTTCAAACCAAACTCGAATGAGGGACAATATCTGCAACTAAACATTTAGTGACAGACAGTGATGCTCTACAGGCGTGGCAAAGCAAGTATTCTTCACTTTGGTTGAATGTATGTCTCATTTTAACACTTTTAATTTTCAACTGGAGATTGCAGATCAAATAATACTTGTTCTAGTGAGACTAAAGTTGCACTTAATTTTTGATGACCTTAGCTGCAGGTTTGGAATTTCAGCAATCTTAGCATATAAAATTTGTAGTTATTGGATTTCTGTCTTAGCTGAGTAATTGAAATCACTTATAATTTGGCTTCTAATAGAAATAATAAGATAATGTTGTTCTGAATCTCAATAGTACAAGTAAGATTTAATAGCAACTATAAATCCAACAATAGTGCTAACTATTTGGTAGCAATATCTCCACATGGACAGATTATGTTCGTTTCGAAATTATTTGTTTATGTAGATCAAAAGGATTAATAGAAATTATTTGTTTGTAGTTAAGCGCAAAGTTACACAAAAGACTATCGGTGCTCTGCCCACCACGGGTATCAAAACCCGGTTTTTAGCGTTCTAAGTCCGCAGACATGCCGCTGTGCCACTTGGGGCCAAGAGAAATTGATACCACATGAATGTGAAGTATGTCATTATCATAAAAAAATTAAGATACAAGACTTAGTCTTTTCAGAATTATGAAACTTGTTTCAAATACCGTATATATATGTGTGAACTAAAAATAATATATAGCAAAAATAATAAATTACATATTTAAAACAGCACAACCTCAATTATAACCATTTTATCCTGCCCTAAAATATATTTACCAATGTTAGAGTAATGGCCAACTAACTGTCAATTACGATGAGATAATTACAAACAAACAACAAAAAATTAGTTGGATTCATAGTGTTGCACTGAATTTTTATAAACCAACAAACTAAAATAGCCCTCCATTGGTATAGCAGTATGTTTGCGGATTTACAACACTATAAATCGGTTTTCGATACCCGTGGTAGGAAGAGCACAGATAGCCCTTTGTGTGGCTTTGTGCTTAATTACAAACAAATAAAAAAATAAGTTAAAAGAAAAACAAAACCATGCACTGGAAATTAATTTTATAGACCCATAAAGTTTTTAATAGCTTTGCTAAACATTAAACGGCCTTGTTCAATTTCATCAACGATACATGGTAACATTTTCTTAGAATAAAACACAAGCAATCTTGGAAACACAGGAATTTATATAGTTTTCATCACATTGAATATTCAAAAATTCATGATCATCTTCACTTAAGCATACAAAAAGTTTATAGTTTTTAAGACACTTGCATATAAAATCCTCAACTACCTTTAATTTTCAAAACCAAGATACCATCCTCACGTTTACATAGATCTTATTTTTCAGAAGAAAAAAGTTCATTTAAGTTTGTTCAAATGTTATTAGGCACTAGACTTTTAATTCCTAAAACTGTGTCCTATTTAAAATTCCACCAGGACTAGCAGACAACCAGTTTTCTTCAGCAGAGTCACAAATTCCTTTCTCTAATAAAGAGGATTTATTTCGTAATAAAAAGTTATTTGATGCCGCTTGAGCCTCGTGTTTAGTATATTTATTACTAGTAAATATTAAATGCAAGTGTTCCATTATAAAATGTATGAAGTTTGTGTTTGTCATTATATGAACCTTATGTGCACTTTGAACCACTATTTCACGAACGTCTCACGTGCTCGAGTTCAATTACACACTCTCTGACTGCAGTTCAATTACTCACTACCTACACATTGTCCCGTCACGTTGTGACCATCTTATACATACCAGACTACCCCCAATCTAGTAATCTCCCGACAATTCACTAAGGTTCGAGAAGGAAGTGGCGCGATACTAGTCACGTGACCTCGCTGACGCAACAGTATCATACCTAGTATATGTTCTATATTTTGACTTTCATAAAGTCTTTGATAACGTGCCCCACAATAAATTGAATAAAGTTAAATGCTTATGAGATTAATGGGAACGTTAAACAGTAAAATAAATACTGACTGCAGAAATCAAAGAGTGATAAGTAGGTGACTGCAGGTCAATATTCTGTGTAGAAGAATATAAATAGCGGGGCACCACAGTGGTCTGTTTAGGACTTTTGCTGTGTGGTATTATCAGGTAGAAATAGTTTAAACAGACAAGTGTTATATCTGCAATAAAGGCGGTTCTGGAATAGTTACATGTAGGAGGATAAGTAGAACATAAACAGGAAAATAAAAAAATTCGAATATAAACGTAAAACAAAAAGATAAAATCTTTATTGAATACATAAAACGTGCTGGTATCTAAGTATTTCAACTGGTGGGCTTCATATAGTTGGGATTAAAGTTTGGCTGCTTAATAAGATTTGAGAAAATAAGTCTGTACGTAGCGTTGACAGCAAGGATTGTATGTTGTCTTACTTTCAAAGCAAACCAAAATCTAGTGTGGTTAATTAAAATTTGAAATTACCCACGACAATAATATTTTTTATTGTACATTCTCAAAAAAGAGACTAATTCCTACGTCATGTATTCAAATGAAAATCTCTATACAACCATTCACATGGGTATTACTCAAATCCTAAAGGAGAGATTATCTCTGTAAACGCTTATTTTGTTTGTGTGGAGATTTAACTGTTTCGAAGTTTTAATTTTTTTATTCATTTAATTGTATGAGATTTTCAACTTTAAATTAGGATGTATGTCTTGCGATGACTCTGTGATATATAACCATACTTTGTGCTTTCAACTTCCTTGCATTAATAAAGGAATTTTTGTAAATTTGTTATAAGTTGCAGGTGTGTACAGTTTCCACGTGATACGTTGGCAAAGAAAGTTGTGAATTGTGCTACTTTTGCTCTAGCTACCTATTGTTCTGTGTCACACGCTTAAAGTAGCACATCTTTTCTTCCAGTGGTAAATGTCGCTGCTAGGTTACCTGTAGTAGGCGAAGTTAGACAGTTGTTTTTTCCACAGACATTCAGGTGACCTTTTGGAGTTATGACCTCCATTATGTTTCATTGGAAATGCCCAGTCACGTGGGTAGAAATGTTCACTATAAGTAAGTCTGACATTAACAAATGAAGATATTCTAACATTAAAGGACAACAGGGACGTTTTGGTCCATTTGTGACATCCTGGTCACTAAACTAAATTAAATAAAAAAAAATCTCAAAGCCACCCCTTATCATTCAAACATTTATCAAGCTTTCTTTAAACTCCCTTAACTTAACTTAACTTCATCTATCACATATGAAGGCAAGTCATTACAAAGGTTAAACGCCTTATTAGAAAAATAAAGCTGTCTTAGCTGAAAATGACTTCTATCATGCCAAAATTTATATATGAGTCCCCTAGTCTTACCATTCTCACCATTAAATACAAAAAAATCTCAAAGCCACCCCTTATCATTCAAACATTTATCAAGCTTTCTT